ACTACGGGACAGAGGTTCAGGGCCGAAGGGGTAGAGGAAGACCTAGGAAAACTTTGGAAGAGACCCTAAGAAAAGACTTCAGTACTTGGATCTAACGGAGGACATGACACAAAACCGAGCGCAATGGCGTTCTAGGATTCATATAGCCGACCCCACTTAGTGGGAAAAGGCTTTGTTGTTGTTGTTGTTGTTGGTTAGAGTGTGTCAAGTTTGGTTACTTTTGGTGGCCTAAGTTGCTGCCGCATAAGTTTTCTCATACTTTTTGAGTGTTTGTGCGCTTAATCTTCATAACAATCATTCTTATCTCTTTTATCTCTGTGCAGAAGTTTTCCAAAGTTGTTATATGTTGGTCATCAAAAAAGTTCATGATAGGATGATGGCCATTTCTTTCTTCTGGCTCCTATTTTGTTCAAATCATGTTCGTATGCAATACTATATAGAGCTGAGAGTAGTAGTTAAATTTATTAGCTTGAGCCATGAGTTATGCTGAAAGATGGAATGCTTTAGTAGTGATAGGAACTTAAACTTAGATTGTTCGCATGCATTTATAATCTATTTTTCTCTATTCTTCTCTCATTTGTTTGAACTCTAGGAGTTTTGTTACAGGCAAAGGAATAGTTGGATAAGATAGAGAAATAGCTCTCGCCAGATGAATTCAAGAAATGCTCAACTTAGCCTCTTATAAGTTTTAGACCGAGCCCATTTCATGTCATTTTACACTAATCATGTCGTGTGCATGGGTTTTTTTTTGACGCATCTGTTTATTCTAGTAGCCACTGAGATGAAAGCTTCGTTCTCTTTCTTCGAGATTGCTTTTTGATCATATTCACTCTTTGTTCTTTTGCAGTGTGATCCTATTTCCAGTAGCGACTTTCTATATCACGTCGTGGTTAAAGCTTTTTGGATAGCTTCTTCTCTCCAATATATGCTCAACTTGGAATCAACATTTTTGTTACGTCGTATTCTGAAATGCATTCCTTAAACCCCATTATTGGATTGGTATATTCTAACTTGCATTAGTCATTGGTCTTGGGGTTTGACGTTGCTAAGCTAAGTATGTAGTCCATTTTCTCTCTTCATCTCACCCTAGCTAGAGATAAATTTTGGTGCGATAATCCAACTTCAGTAAAGACAGCTTCTATCCGACTTCAGTGAAGCTAGGGTTTGATTTTCTTCAACTTGAATGCTTAATTGTCTTATTCTTACAAAAAGGTTTTTGATTGCACGAGTGACCATATATCTTATCTAGAGTATGTAACAATAAGAAGAGGTGGGAACAAAAGAGAGATCTGGAATCACTCTGGCTTTTGGCATCACACCAAAGGTGCATTGGAAATCACCCCAATAGAACGTACCCAGTGCACACATAACACATAAGCAGGAAATCCAAAAGCTTACAAAGTAGCTCCTTTTTCATTTATGGAATCGGAGGAGCCTCGTGCACCATTGGTTCGAGGAGAGGAAGCTTTCTACACCAAAAAGATGCCAAAAAGTTTGGGAGCAAAAGAAGGAGCTTTGAAGTCTGAAAAAATGCACCGAAAAATGGAAGCAGAAGAGATTCCAAGCAAAAGGTTTGACAAGGAAGAAAAAGCTAAAAAGTGGAAAGTGACAGCAGAGAAACCTGAAGAAAGAGAGGCCAAGACAAAAGAAAAGGCTTCGAGAAAGTTGAAAGCTTCTCATTCTGCAGATCTCAAACCACATAGAAAGGAGGCAATTGACAAGAAGGTTGATAAGATCCAAAAGGTGACTTCGGTTATTAGGAACTCACCAGAGAAAGATATAGCGAAATCTAAAAATGTGTCAAAGTGTCCAGAGGATCTCAGAAGCTAAACCGCACAATTGATTCCTGGTCGAAAGAGATGAGGTTCGAAGGGCAGCAGTCGAAGGACATTGCGAAAAACTACTTGGAAGGAGCTCTTGATCGGGAGGATTCTCTTGTCATTCTTAGCAAGTTGCACAGGAAGCTTCAGAGTACGGCTCATTTGAACAAAAAAACACAATTCTGTGACGGAATTTGAAAAACCGAGGCATTCTGCAGATGGTTTTCGAGGAATGGAAATCAAGAACTTAAGGAGGTGATCAGAGACAGCCTTGTGAGGCAGAAACCGGTGGAAAATACAGAATCTGTCGAAAGGGGTAAACTATTTTCGACATATGGATTCGTGCTTGGATACTCCCTCCACCAGCTCAACCCAGAGTCCCATGTTTCATACCACCAGTGACTCCACCATTGCAGCAACAACAGCTACTTCACAAAAGGCGGGGAAAGGGCCGAGTCTGGTTGCCAAACTCATGGGAATCAAAGAGTACCCCTCGAGACCTTTGCAGGCGTCTCTGAAGAAACAGTTTGAGGAACGTGAGAAGACTGCTTCAAGTCAATATCTTGGCAACCAATTACTGCGACAATCAAAATCTTGAAACGCTCATCTCAGAAATGTAACGTGTAACTCAACTGAGCGGAAAAGAAATCACTTAAAGAAGGAAAATCCAGCCAAAGATCCTAAAGTAACTAGATCAGTTGTAAGTCTTCCTTGTCTCAAAATCGTTTTACAAAATTTCTGCTTTTTTTTTTTTTCATCTTGCAAATATAACTTTAGGAAGCTAAACGTAGTAATGTTCTTTATGCAGACCAAAAATGTTATGAGTGAAGAAAGTGAGAAGAGAATTATTACGGACTATAAAAGTGACGCTTCCCCAATCAAAGCTGGTCTTGCAGACGAAAACCCTAAGGAAGAACACAGATGCCTTTGTATCTCAGAGTGAGTGGAGGTATGGCCTTCTTGAATTACAATAACTTGATTATGTAACGTCCAGTGTTGAATATAAAGTCCAGTGTTGAACATTTGACAAGAAAACGTTGGTGCATTTAGGGGTGGGTTCGGTACGGTTACCGTACCAAAACCCTCGTACCAATTACCGTACCAAACTTTCGGTTTGGTAAAATCTATTACCAATACCATACCAAACTTTCGGTATTGCCAAATGTTCGGTTGACATGGTATGGCAATGGTAATTGCCACTTTGTTTTGGGACAAAATTTGTTTTGGCTTTTTTAACCCAATTCAAGTGCAAAACTTTTTTATTGTACCTTTATCTAATACTTTGTAGCCTAAATTCATCGATTATTCATCATTCACAATTCACACACATAATAATTCAAATGATGCATCAAGATTCATGATGAAAATTAAGTTTACAATCCAAATAGAAGCTACGAACCAAAACAAATAGAAGTTGCCCCCATGCTAAAGATCATCTCTATCCTCCATTGGTTCAAACACACTTCTAGAACTTTCCCAATGTCTTCTCCCTTATGACCTGTGATCTTTATGAAGTTTATAATCCGTTTGTGCAACTTTCATTCCCTATCCATGAAGTGAGCGGTAACTACCATGTAGTTAATGTTTTGTACCGATGTCCAAGTATCGGTTGTGATACTTACCCTTTGATTATGCATTGCTTCAAATAACTTAGACTTCTCCAACACATATAAATCACACACACTAGCCGCAATCTTCTTCCTATTTGGAATCTTGAACCGAGGTTGAGCCTCTTTCATCATATCAAATTATTAGAATATTATAAATATGTGTTATATAATTATATATTATATAATTTATAAATTATATATTATATTATATGTTCGGCACGGTAAGGTAATACCGTGGTAATGATATCCATTACCAATACCATACCATGAAATTTCGGTACGGTACAATACCGTACCATTACCGATTGGCACAAAAAATTTGGCACAAAATCGGTATGGTACGGTTGGTAATTCGGTTGACACGGCAATTTGGCAAAAAAATCCACCCCTAGGTGCATTTGTATTTCTGCGAATTCGAGTGCTATTTCTTGAATCATTGGATGCATCTTATATCGGTTCTTGTAACATTGAAATGTTTCTGAATGCAATTTATCTTCAAAATTCAAAACAACAATGTTTTGGAAAGCCATAGGAATCTGCATGCGTACAATAGGAAGGCAATTAGAACTTAGGGGAGAGAGAGGGAGGAGGGAGGGAGATACCTGTATGATGTTCTTGCCAAAATCAGCTGTGAGATTGGTAAACCTTTTCATATCAGTCCATGTCATGGGGGTTTAATAACTTATCCAAGCGTGGAGCCTCAGTGAGTTTGGGCGAATCACTTGCTTGCAATTCTCTCATGCTTAACTTTCACATTTGGTGGTATATCAGGGATTGCAAGAAGGTCAAAGCAACAATCTAAGCTCAATGTTTCAAGCTTTGAAAGACCACTAAAGCTGGGTAGGATATGAAAATCATTCCATGCAAGATCCAAAACTCTTAGAGAAATTAGACTCCCAAGATCGTTAGGGATTGCATCATCAGCTAATTTGCACGACGAGAGATTTAATTCCCTTAAAGAGTTTAATCCCAGTAACGAATTGGGCAGAATAACACTCATACCCTCCAGAGATAAACGAGTGAGATTCTTCAATCTTGCTATGGAAGGTGGTAGTTCTCTTATGTCTGTTTGTTCTGCTTCAAGTGTTCTCAGTGATATCATCTTCCCTATATCCTCATGCACTTCTCTGAATTTCGAACACCTATTAAGAAGAAGAGTCTCAACAGATTTCGACTTGTAGAAATCCCTTGGAAGAGAACAAAGATTGGAACAGCTTTTAAGGTTCACCAAAGAAAGTCTTTTAAGATGACCAATGGAAGGGTGAATCTCGGACAAACTAATACACTCTTCCAATATCAACTCTTCAAGAGTTGGGACTTGTGAAAAGTCCGGTGATTTCTGTAAGGAATTGGACTTGCTGAGATCAAGGATTTTCAAGTTATGTAGCGACTGTTGCAGAAAATCAAAAGAAAATTGAAATTAATATCCGAAATGAAAATGTTATAAAAAACAGAGAAGAAATCCAGAAAACAAATAGATACAGAACATCATCAGGTGTAATTCATTGTACCTTGGAACCCTCCCAAGCTTGTACCAGTTCGCTATCCTGCATGTGTAAAACAACTAGTCTTGGTTGATTAAAAAAGTCATCTGGTATGGACTTTAAACGGCATCCATACCAACACAACCATATTAATTCTTTGGGAAGATGTTTGTATTCTCCATTAAGCCCTACGTTGTATAGCCGGAGCAATCTCAGTTTTTTCATATTGCTAAATGCTTCTGTACTGAAACTAGAATTGAAATAACCATAAGGAAAATGTAGAGCAAGTCCTTCAACTTCTTCAGTTCCCTGTTAACAAAAGGTTATATTGCGTAAAAAAGGGATTGCATATGTTTACATGTATTATTATTTATTAGGCAAAATCACGTACGGTGAATATATGCAAGTACTGTTGTTGGCTAATTGAGTTTTCCTTGCGCAACCGCATATATTTACACATGAATGTTGTTTAGAGTATAATAGACATATGCTTTTCTTGTACAATGCAATAATCCAAAATTTTATTGGGAATGTACTTACAAATTTATTTGTTAATACATCGATGACATCTTCATGATTCCATAACATGCTCCATTTTCCTGGGTGATCAGGAGATTTCTCAGAAATGATTATTCTAGCCATTTCTTGAAGCAAATCATGCATACTCAAATTCTCGCCTTCAACAGTTACAAGACATCGTTCACGGAGGATACTAATTCCTATTGTTGCAAAAAATCCACATACATCTAATAATTTTGCTACAATGTATTTGTCCTCTCCAATAAAGAAACAAGCTATGTTAAGGAATGTAGCCTTCTCCGTATCATCTAGCCCGTCAAAGCTCATTCTTAGTGGTTTTATTATTTTTCCATCAGGAATTCTTTCCAATTTCTTCAATTGACATTCCCACCATGCTATGGTTCTTTTAAACAAAGAAGAACCTAAAACTTCAAGGGCTAGTGGCAAACCACCACAGTAAGAAACAACTTTTTCTGAGAGTTGAAGATATCCTTCATTAGGCCAACTATTTCCAAATGCATGCCAACTAAAGAGCTCAAGAGCTTCTCCTTCATTTAATTTCTGAGCCGGATATACTTTGTCCACATTTATTAGTAGACGTTTATTTCGTGTCGTTATGATAATTCTACTTCCTGTGCCAAAACAATCATGATTTCCAACTATTGCATCAAGTTGTTCCTCTTTATCTATGTTGTCCATGATGACAAGTACCTTTCTACGTGAAAATTTCTCTTTTATCAGACATATACCTTTATCAACAGTGCTTATTTTAAACTCTTGATCCAAGATGTCCGAAATAAGTTGTTTTTGCAAATGAACCAGGCCATATTTACTTGTAGTGTCGCTAACGTCGGCAAGGAAACTCTTGGATTCAAACTTAGGATGAATTTGGTTATAAATGGCTTTGGCAGCTGTTGTTTTACCTAATCCACCCATCCCCCAAATTCCAACCATGATAACATCTTTCGATTCACCACGTGAGAGATAAGTGATAATATCTTCAACACGAGAATTGATTCCAATTGGGTGCTTGGCCACACGTAATTTGTTTGTGCTGGGGAGCCATTTCCAAATATTCTCATAAATAATTTTCTGAATAAGCTTTGCTTCATGCCTGAAAACACAATTTGTAAGAAAATACAAATGGCGGTGTAGACTTGCAATGACTTACTATTTGCAAGAATTAACTAATCAGAAGAAATATATATTGTTGATAAAAGCAAAATGTAGATGAAACGCGTTTTCTAGTGGAGCTGGTTTTCTCTGTGGACAAATAAGTGACATATTATTAAGTAAGTTGTCATGTCGACAAATAAGTAACCTATTATTACAAATTATTTACGACTTATACCAGTAACACATATTATCAAATGTGTTCTTACGCCATTAGATAACCTACACAATCTAGACAATAACAGCTAATTATTTTCTTTGCGTGTTTTTAAATATTGTATTGTGTGTTTAGTAATTATATCTGCAAGACCATGTACATTAACCTATGCATTTTGAGCTTCTCGTAATTTACCTAGATTTATACTGATTTACTCATTTATATTCACTAATTTAATCTGCAAGACTATGTATATTGTATATATATTTACTAATTTATTTGGAAACTATTATTAGTACCTCAAAAATCTCATTCTACACTTCGCATAAGTGTATTTTTCTTTCTAATTATAGAAATTTTAGAGTACCAAATGAGACTTTTGAGCGTTAATAACAATTCTCGTTTATTTAGACTGCATATTCACTAATTTACCTTTCTTAATTTGTGGCATCGTGGGCTTATTGTAATTGTGCATTTTGTTTATTGAGTAATTTACCTATATATTGCATATTCACCTAGATAGTATAGGCAAGTTATTTACCTATAGGGCACGTTTGGTGGAGTGGTTAGGCTAGGATTGGATGGGATGGGTTTGGCTATTCATCTACTATTTGGTGTAGATGATCTCAACCAGATTAGGATTGGATTGAAAAGCAGAAGTGCAAAGAAAACACAGAAAGGTCGATCCCACGTACTAAACCCAACATTCCAGAAACGGAAACAAAGCAATTGAGATAAAAGAAAATGCAAAAGGATAGCAGAAAATTACTGGTGGGAGGAGGCGAAGGAGAAGACAATCGAAGAAGCAGAAGGAGATCAATCAAGGTGGCGATCGCAGTAATTGTCATCGTAATCGACGGTGGTAGAAGAGTCATAAGAGAAAGGTCGTTTCTGGAATGTTGGGTTTGTGCTTACATGACCCCACGCCGCTGCTCCCGATGATTCCACGGCTCTGCTCGCGAAGATCCCAAAGCGCCGCTCGCGACGACCAACCCCACCTTGTACGACCAGATCTGTGGAGGGAGAGAGAGAGTGAGAGAGAGCTCTAACGATGATGATAACGACGATGGAAAAAAATAATATGCTGATGTCGACGGAGAGAAGAGAGGAAGATGATGTTGGACTCACACCCATTCTGGACTTGAAAACAAAATTGGAATCCCATCCCTGATGCTCGTTATTCGCACCAAATAGCGGCAATGGACTTTAGTCTATTTTACATTTTAATGGTTGATAGCCTATCCCATAGAGCCTACAAAACGGGCCTATAGCGTGCACTGCGCTGTCTCGGACTGGATTAACTTTAGGGACTAAACTGGACCGACTTAGACTAGACTAAGCTAAATTAGCTTAATGAAGCGTTTGATGCAGTATCGGACTAAGAAGGATAAAAATTAATTTTCCTTCTTTTTTTTTTTTTCCAAAAACAGAGAACTCTATCTGTCTCTCCCTTTTCTTTGGTCAAACTATCTCTCCTCCTTTTTCTCTATCACTTCCATTTTCCTTTCCTGTCCAACTCCTTTTTCCTTTTCTTCTCGATCACAAATATACACAGTTCACATGCAAACCAATTTTCCATCAAACCAAACAAAACCCATCACCTGCCTCATCAATCCAACAAAATTCCCAAACTTTCCCACCCTAAAATTTGACAATTCCATTCAAATTAAACAAAAATTAGAGCTGAAAAACTGAGGAAAGAAAGAGAGAGAGAGAGAGAGAGAGAGAGAGTAAACGGACCACCAATAGTAGGAGGTGGCGACGCCGTATGGCTTGAGGATGAGTAGCAGCAGAACTACAGTACTAGCAGGATGGAGCAACTGTTGTCGTCACGGCCGAGTTCGAGCCGAGCTCAGATATCGGCGGAGCAGAAAGAGAAGAAAGCGAGGAGAAAGGAGGAGGGGAAGGGGGAATTGGCGAGGGGAATGATGGTGGCTCTCGGCGCTTGTGAAAACATAGGAGCAGAGGAAGACGCGAGGGAGTTAGTCCCCGCTAATCCCATGGTTCTCGACGGGTCTGCTAGCGAGGGAGTTAGTCCTCGTGAGTCCCTTCTAATCTCATTAAATTTAGTCTCGGATTGTTAACAAACACGGGACTAGACTACTACATAGTCCAGTCCAATCTAGTGTAGGCTAGTGATGCCAAACAAACACCCCAGAGTATTATCATGTACAATAATTTACCTAACACCAATAGGTACATTAGCAATAGGTACATTAGTATCATACAATTTTGAAAATTTTGCCCGCCAATACCCATGCACGTTAAATTAACTTGAAACTTTAATTCATATGGAATTTAAAACAATCATTAATTAGCCAAATTTACAAACATAACCAAATGTATCATCACATAATAAGGGGCATTTTAGGACTATAAAATTATGTAATCTGAGTCATAAAGCAAATTTAATGAATTTTTCTAATTAAAGCCCAGTCAACGACCAAGAGTTTGTTGTCCGCAATTGCATGTCTCTTTACTATTTATTTTTACACGTGTCATTTCACTTAACTTTAAATTTAACATTGTGGAAAGGTGTTAAGCTCTTGCATGATGGCGTGAGTTCAAACTCAATCAGTGGTTGATTTAATATCTAATCTAACAAAATTTATCGATTGACAAAAAAAATAGTCATGCCCACACGTTATACGTATGTAATTGAATTTGTCTATTAATTGTTATAATATATTTATGTCACCTTTTTTAAGAAAAAAAACTTTGTAATTAAATTCGTCTATTACTTTTTATAAAAATATTTATGTCACTTTTTTTTAAGACAAAATAAAACCCTTTAAGGAAATAAAATTGGGCATGGAACTTGGAAGAAGGGGAAGGGGCTGATTTTAGAGTTAAGTGGAGGGGAAGAGACACAAAGAAGACATGCAATTTGGGACAACAAACCATTGGCCGGGTCTAAATCTGAAAAAATATATGATGGGATAAAGGCAAAGAATAAGGAGTTTTAAGGGGGGAAACTTATTTTTTTCAGTTAAATAATTAAAGTGAATAATAGAAATGGTTTACCCGTCCTCAGTGTTTTTAAGATCATGACCAGACAAGTTTGCAGCTTTAGCAAGAGCCTCTCTCCATTGCTTTACCCTTTTTCTCTTAGCTTCCCCATTTTTGTCATCTTCTTTACGGATGTCCTCTTCGTGCTTCTGAAACATTGGGGCTAAGCTACCTTCCTGCTTCCTAATGTCTGAAGTTTCAACATGATAGAATATTGGCAAAACATGTTGCCCCAGTTTGGATCTGCACTCCATGATCTTCACTAGCTCGTCGAGGCACCAACTCGAATCTGCGTACCTCTTTGAGAAGACAATGATAGAGATCCTTGACTCTTCGATGGCTCGCAACAGTTCGGGCTTTATTTCTTCCCCTCTTTTTAGATCGTCCTCATCAATAAAGGTCTTGTAGCCCTTTCCTTCCAATGCTTGATGGAGATGGCCCGTGAAGCCCTTACGTGTGTCTTCGCCTCTAAAGCTCAAGAACACGTCATACTTCCAGAGTTTTGAGGAGCATGATGAAGAGGAGACTTCGTGGGCTGCCATGGCTACATCCACTGTATAACACTGCAGTGGTTCAGATTACGACTGAAAAATATGGCAGTGGTTGTGTTTGTTTTGCCAAACCGATGATACTGAAACACCTAAACCCAAGTCAAGATCCTTCAATCTACAATAACAGAAGCTTATAATTTAATAATGTTTCGGTAGACTTGAGAAACAACATACAGCTGGGCGAGAAGGTGCAGGGAAAAATAGAGGAAAAGAGGAAAGAAAGGAACACAAAAGGACAAAGACTATCCTAAAGATTCTTAGAAACTCTGAAAATGCTTTATTCACAGAGAAGGCTCATGTTTGCTTTTCAAGAATATGAGGGTAGAAACAACTAAGATCTACCTTATTATATTTCCTCTTACACTACTTCCCAACCAATGTTAGTCACATTCTCATTTAAATTTTTTCTCTCTATGTTTTATTTTGCTTTTTATTTTGTAATGTCGTAATTTAAATCTTTTATTTTCGTTATTACTCTTTAAATATCAATTATTTTAAAGTTCAAACAAATTCAATAATCTAAATATTATATAATGAAGAGAAATGCTAAGAAGACTTTTCAAAGTGAGACTTTCTAGGAATTATCCGCCACCTCAAGTTTTTGGCAAAAGTCAACATTATCAAAATATTGTGCCAAAAACATGAAGCGGTGGAAAGTCTATCTCATTTTTTAGCCAGTCTCCTTAGCATTTCCTTATAATAAATAGACAAACCATATTATTCGAGTAAAATTTGAAATTAATAAACGTTAATCAATGATTAAACTAATGGCTCGTTTACTAATCCGTAATCAAAACGGGTGGCATTGAACTGAGGAGGAATTGAACTAAAGAGGAATTGGATTGATGAGGAATCAAAAACAGATTCCTATGAAAGGTGTTTACTAAACTGTCGGGAAACGGAGTAGGAATGATGTCAATTCCATATAAATTGTTTACCAATTCACTTCTGAATCGGAATCGAAACCATTTGATTACTAAACTACCCTTGGTCTAAATGAGTGATTTTATGTGATAATTAATAAAATATAATTTTCATAACAACATTAACCCATAAATAATTGAATTTTCTCTCTGATCTTTATAAACTAAATTGTTAACCCTTTTTAAACCTAATTTTTATACCCACCCCCCATAACTTCCCAAGCAGCCCAATTTTTCTACCTTTTCAAACCTTCACGTCTTTTACTCTTCTCCCAGGATCATTCGTCAGTCCTCCCCAGCCGGCACCGCCATCGCCACCACCCTCTCCCTCCATCCCTTACATTTTATTTTCTGTGCATCCTTCATTATCATTTCCTGCGGCTCCGTCTGTGCCGCTCCTCCATCCCCACACGACTACGACGTCACAACTATAGAAGAACCAGCTTTACGATATCTGAAGACGGTTCGGATTGGTTGATTGGGGTGTAAATGTAGAGGGAGGTGAAAGGGAGGCAGGCGGAGAGGTCTGGGCTTGTTGGTTTCACTGGAAGATTAGAGTTTTAGGAATTAGTTGGGGTTATAATAGGTAGAAAAGTTGTATTCCGGATTCCGTTTGTCTCCCGGAATTCAAATGACACCTCCCACCTCCGGAATACAATTCTTCCAAAAACAGGAATCCAATTCCATTTTTCGTGTGGGCCCCACTCATTTTGATTCCTCCAAATTTTAGTAAACATAAGAATAACCCGTAATCGGAATCACACTCCGACTTTTGATTCCGATTACAGAGTAAACATGCCATAATTCTTATTCAAAGTAAAGCACCTTCAGCCCAGGCCCTAGGGAGACAAAAGTGTACGAACACATAATAGGACAGTGGGATAAGGAGGAGGATTGTCTGCCCTCCAAGTTTCGGTGCCCTTCCATGCCCTCCTGTTTTGTGTGGTCACGGTTAAGTCACGTTAATATTTTATATTATTTTTTTATAAAGATAATAAAACAAAAATTAATAATAATATAAAATATTAACGTGGTTTAACCGTGACCACACAATCAGGAGGGCATGGGAGGGCACGGGAACTTGGAGGGCAGACAATCCTCCTCCAAAAAAATAAAGTGGAAAAGTAGAGCTGCTTTTTGAAGTAAAAAACAAAGTGGAAAAGTAGGAGCTGCTTGTTGAAAAAAAATTAAGGGAAGGACGTTTCCAGTGACACCACGACGCCACAATCTGATCACTGGACGTCTAAGATTGAAAGTAGAACAGTAGAAATCTAACACTTGATGCTTACACGAAGTTATTGAATAGTTTGTAACAAACAGTTTCTTGACATGTTCATGCTTCGTAAATAATATTCATCAGCATATGTACAAACCAAACTAAATTTATTAATTTAAAAAATTATTTGCTTCCTCTGCCCAACCCAAAATTAATTCAGACAAAATTTGCACAACACAAATTAAGACATCAAACCAAATCTACACAATCCAAATAAGAGTCAAACCAAGCTGACCTCTGTAAATCAGGTTGGCCTTAATTGATCGGACTTGCTTTCTGAAATTCTGAAATATTTATCAAAATGAAATCACACAAAATCAAATTTGAAAAACAAACATACAAACCCTACTAATTCAAATAAGAAATACACACATTTCCCAAATAAAGAGCATGGTTCAAATTGGTGATTTGATTTAGCCACAGAATGCAATAGCAACCTATCGATTTATATAAATTAAAAATATTTAAATATATACATCAATAATGTTTATAGTTATTCTCTACTGTAAGCAATTATTTTTGTTTAACAGAGTTCATTATTTTGTAAGCAATTATTTGTTTACAAATTCGAAAACGATTTATTCACTTAAGTTCCTAATCAGAATAACATAAACATTCACATTAATAAAGAACTTGGAAAATGGTATGGACCTCCCACTGTTTACATCTTCCCATCTTGTCTAAAAATAAACACCACATATGGGTTCTTCAACTGTATGATATCCATTTTTAGACCTACCACTTCACCCAACAGATGCGTTCCTCCGCTAACAGTATTAAAAAAAATAAATAAATTACAATTAAACTTACTATTTTGTATCTTCCTCTCCCACTTCGTGTTCTCTCTTTCTCGTACAAACCAAAAGCACAAACTTCCTAAAATTGGAGTCATTGCACTCCTCTCTTTTCAAAAATTACAAACACGTTTTAATCCAACAACTACAAATACTTATTCAAATTGGGAAAAAAATGGAAGGACATATAACATACCCATAAAATAACAGTTGTGTTCCGATTGCTGCCAAATCTGAGATTTATGAACTCAGGTAGCAAAATGCAAAATGCCCCTTTAAGCACGAAAGCCTTGACAAAGCACTGCAGCTCACCACAATGATCTGAAGACAGTCTCTCCCAAACCGTGCTACATATTCACCATAAATCCAGCGACAACTCCGGAATCCCAAACGGCAAAGAAACAAATACTATGAAGTTTTGGCCCGCCAATTGCAACTTTAAGAACCCTAGAAACGAATTTTATGACTTTCCACAAAACTCCCAGAACCCTAGTTCTACAGCTAGCTTTACAGAGGAACACAACTTCCCTCAAAACGGAGAGCGCAAACAAAATCCCCTAAAAAACGAAAATCAGGATTTGTTTGGTGAATATTTTGTGAAATAAGGAACGAAAAATTCGAGAGCAACGAAGGATTCAAGAAAAACAGAGGGCGAAAGGAAGACATGAAAAGCACAAATGAAGAAAAAGGTAAAGCGAACAAGAAGGCACGGTTGAAGTAGAGATTAACAATGAAAAACGCAAGGCCAACATATGGGCAAAAACGACTTTCCACTAATTGATGAGATAGGGACCCTTCAACTACTTCATTACCATATATGCGAAATCTCCTCCCCCTCTCTCTCTCTCTCTCTCTCTCTCTCTCTCTCTCTCTCTCTCTCTCTCTCTCAAGAAGAGGCAGCCTTGAAGAAAAGGAAATTAATGGTCTCCAGGGAAAATATATGAAAGTCCCAGGTGAATGAGGAAAGAAATAACTGAAAGTCCCAGGTGAATGAGGAAAGAAATAACTGAAGTTAGAGCCCGCCAAACATTGCCATCCACTTCCATTCATCTTGTCAAACTCCTGAAAAAAAAAATCAAACGCAAGCACTCATTATTTAAATAAGGGACATTTATTGAAAAATTTCTAATACTATTTATTTTAACGAAAAATTATGTTTTTACACTAAAAGGTTAATCCTAGTGTTATTCATTTTATCTTTTATTTTGTCATAATTGTTGATTAACGTACTTATTTTTTATTTATGACATATTATTTAGTTTGCAAATGTAATATATAAATTTAATCTACCTAACATCACTCTTTATTTATTATATGTGATTGTTGTCATAATACATCTCAAACGCTTCCAAATTTCAATATAAAATAATACATTATTGATTAGTTGAATAGTTAAAATTACCGACGGAGAACTTATTGTTATAATTTATTGGATGTCTTTTTCCTTTCGTCATGTAGCAATGCCAAAGTCAAATATACAGACAAGAACGCCAATATTCCACCATTCTTTTGCTTTCTCCTTTGTTTTTGGGGTCTAATTCTTCCGGAATAACTTATTAATTAGTGACTTACCGGGATGACAATTCTAACCGTTAAACCCGATAACCATGCATAACTGTCCGAATGGATTGGATTTGAGTATGAAAATTCGGGTATATTTTGGGTATGGAAAAAAACCTTGAATATTATTTGGTTATGGTTTTGGATATGGTTATAAGGGTCCCCAATCCGTATCCGTACCCAAATCCGAACCGAATAATATATAATAGTAAAGTATTATAATATATATATATATATATATTCATTATTCACCGAATCCATTACCTTGAGAATACAAAAATTGCGTTGTGTGAGTTGCATTTTGTGTGCAAAAGTTCAAAAGTTTTGGTAAGAATCAAAATCTATGAAATTCGATGGTGCTTATGGGAGATATCAAAGATCAGCCAACATTATCAATGTTTAGCTTTAATTTTATGCTCCACAAGATCCATTTATTAAATCATTTTATACATCTAATATTTAATGACGAAAATAATATTTACTAAATTATCATGTGTCAATTGGGCAAATATATTTTTTCGTATTGCCGAAGATGGATATAACCGTTAACTGACACACCCCGATCCTAGAATTAAGGCGTGCTGGCCGCCACGAGAGCGTGACGTAACCAAAAGTGCAGTGCGGAAGCAAAAGATACAAAAATTATGAAGGAATAAAAAACAACTACTAGCAATAATATCCAACTAGCATGCTAGAGTAAGTTTAAGTGTGAAACACACAAATTCAGAGCATAAGTACTAGGTGCAGTCAAGTAGAACTATAACTAAATTACAACACCCGCAGGTGAGTCCTACATTCAAGGAGTCTGTCAGAATGTCGTAGAAGTCCTCGTCAACCACCAACTGCTAACTAGAACCTGAAGGGGCGCAAAATAAGATTGAGTGGGTCAGTAAAACAAAGATTTTCGAAAACATTTCATTTAAATCATTTCTAACCCTTGGCTGTAAAACCTGTAAAACATATATATCATATTAGCCGCTCACTCTTTCTCCCATCTTTCCTCTGCAACCCGCACCACCCTCCCTTCCATCTCTCATTTGCAACCCACACCCACCTTCCCTTCTTTATTCTACAACCTGCACCTACCATCCTTTATCTCATGCACAATCGCACCCATCTTTCTCACACACCCAACCCAACAACATGCCGAGGAGAAAGAAGAACCAAAGCATCGAAGCAAGGGAGCCACCAGGTGCCAGTGGCCGTCCTTCTCTATCTTTCCATGCAATTCAAGTCACAAGACATAGAACCTTCCGTTCACGGCCATCGAATACACTTACTTAACGAGGGGCGGCTTGGATAAGCCTTTGAAGTCTAGTTTGAAGATACGTGGTAAATGGATTCATTTGGAGTATGAGAGCCTACCCCAAGTTTGTTTTTTCGTAGTGGGATAATCGGTCATGATCAAATTCAATGTGTGGTTGGTCTGGGTTTGGTTGTTTTTAAGGTTGTGGAAGAAGGCAATGGTAACGTGAGAGTTAATTGCATGACAATGGGTTTTGCTACCACTGAATGAGGTTTAGGGGTTAGGGGAGGTGGTGGCGAGGGCCAGGAATACTCAAGAATCGGTTAGGAATTGCGAATTTATCCAAATTAGGGATTTAGGTCAAGTGGGGTTTTGATATATTTCATAAATTGGAATGGTTTCTTGGTAGATTTGAATTCTTTTGGGTGGGATTTTGTTAGGTTGGGTGTGCGGGGAGGGTGGGTGCTGGTTGTAGAGGAGAGAAGGGAGGTGTTGCGGGTTGCAGAGACGAGAATGAATGGTCATGAGAGTTGCAGAGGAGAGATGGGAGGGAAGGGGTGGAGAGTGAAGTAAGAGACGGGTGGGTAAAAAAAAGGATTTTTTTCTTCAAATTTTTAATTTTTTTAAAATTTTTATGTAGGCCCATATTGACACGTGACATCCAGTCACTGTTCACGTGGGTGCCACGTCATCAGTTAACGGAGTTTCTAACGGAAAACTTAACGGATGTATGAAATTGCCCCAAAATTATGACTTTAGGTACCAAACTGAGACAAAAAAAACTTTATGTACCAAATATTGAAAACCAAGAAACTTCAGGCCCTGTTTGGCAAATCGGATAGAGGATCGGATAGGACTAGTTATACGGACGCGGGTGTTTGGCTCTCAATCATACTAAATAAGCGCCAGATTAATTTAACCGGTCTGCTTATCTAAAAGGGTATATGCCGGATTAATAAACCCAACCAAAAGGCTCGGATTATTAGTCGGTCCTCTCGCGAACTCGGCCCTCTCTCTCTCGCCTTTTCTCGACGTCGTCGTCGTCTTCCCCGTCGCCTTCCTTGTCGCATTCCTTGTTGCCTTCATCGTCGTCCTCTCCTTGTGGCCTTCCTCGTCACCTTCCCTGTCGCCTTCCTCGTCGCCTTCCCCGCCGCCTTCCTCGTCGTCTTCCTCATCGTCGTTCTCTCGGCGTCGTCGTCTTCCTCTCGCCTTCCCCGTCGCCTCCCTCGTTGTCGTTCTCTCGGCGTCGTCGTCCTCTCGGCATCGTCATCGTCCTCTCATCCACTCGCCGTCCTCCCCTGCAACTGGGTCTTACAAAGAAACATGGTGCGGCGGAGAGATGATTTCAATTTGGGATTCTTCTGCAGTCGGGGAAGAATAAGGGAGAGAAATGAAGGGAATTTGGGGTGTTCGGTGGAGAGATCTGGGAAAAAAGTGATGGTTTCAATTCTTTTTTTTATTTATTTTAAGTTTTGATTATGCAGTCAGGAAAAAAGGTCAACTTTTTTGTGACATTCTAAAGCATTACTCACAAAGAGGGCGATATCTGCTCACAGAGACCGGAAAAATTATTTGGGATTATGCAGTCGGGGAAGAAGAAGAAGGGAGAGAGAGGGAGGGAGTTTGGGGGTGCGGAGACATCTGGGAACAAAAAGCTGATTTCAGCTTTTTTTTTTTTTTAATTTTATTTTATTTTTTTAAGTTTCATTCCTCCTATTCGGTATAACCAAACACAGTATAAATAATACGGTCATTAGTCTGATACTGCACCAAACGCCCGACTAATTTAGTCAGTATTATCCGGTGGCTATTTATCCTATCCTATAGAAATAGTCAATACAGTCCGAGCTGCCAAACGAGGCCTCAAAGTAGTAAACTGAAATTAACCCTTGATAGAAATATGAACTTTACATATGCTTATAAATAGTTGTGCTATTTCTCATGAAACTAATTGATAATATAGATAGTAGTCCAACTACTTATAAATACGTGCAAAGTTTCTCTTGTCATATATATAGGCCCTTATCATTTCTCATATTTTATTTCCAAAAAAGAAACCTTAGCATTTCTCATATTTTATTGCAAAAAAGAACACCAAATTGCAGGGCAAAAATGTTGGCATCCAATCATTGGAAGACAGCTCATCAAACATCAATATACAGTAAAAATTGAGAAACAAAGAGAGATTAATCCTCGCCAGATTCTCTTTTTGAGAATCTCATGAATTCGTGAATTATGTCCGTTTATCGTACATTTTGCAGTAAAAAATTATTTTAAATATTTTTATTTAAAATTAAACACAAACAGTACCAGACAAAAACTGATCGCACGATATACGATAAACAGATACGATTCGCGAATCATCAGGATCCTCACCAAAAGAATCCGAAAAGAATCCTATTGGAGATTAAGAGTTAATTAATCGGTGCCTTATTTAATTAGATGCACAACAAAACTCAACATTTCCTTGAAGTCCACACATGCACGTAATAATCGCCACTATATTATTATATTTTTAAATAATTGAAAAAACAGGATTAACTATTTTCATTCTTTAATAATCCTCACCCAATTAAAATAGTAATTAAATTTAATTAAATAAAAGCAAAATATTTGAAATGCCAAAAATACAAGGGAATGGCGAACAGAGACAGAGTACCGCGAGATTGTGAGCTTCTCATTCCGGTGGCCGACTCCGGCGACGAAGACGCATCGTCCAAACCCTCCTCATCTTCCTCCTCCTCCCACCACACAGGCTGTGAGGTGAGTTTCGATTTCTGTTTCAAATGTTATTGCTTGGTGTGTTAGCGTTGTGTTTGGTTGCTGAGAAAATGGAGGAAAATTCGAGGAAAACCTGAAAGTTTTTGCATAGGTTGCGAATTAAAGTTGTTGGATTTCTGATTATTCTTAAGATATAGAGCTTAGAGTAGTTGTTAAATTTATTAGGTTGAGCCATGGGGTATGCTGAAAGATAGAATGCTTGATAGGGACTTAAACTAGATCGTTGCCATGTATTTGTAATC